TCATTCTATCTCCAGCTTCATTTCTGTCACCAAGTTCATGTTTTCTAACTACTGATCCTTCTTCTCTGTTCCCAATTTTTACATTGCAGTCACTCATTATTATTACTGCATCTTGATTGCATGTTCGCTTGATCTCTGACTATAAAAGCTGAAACTGAGGAGGACCTGAAGCACTTGCTGCAGAGGGACAAGGACAGCAGCCTTCAATATGGATTGAGGCTCAATATCAAGAAGACAAAGATTCTCACCACTGGGCTAATTGGCAGCATCAGGATGGATGGTGAAGAGATTGAGATTTTTAACAGATTTAGTTTGTGTGGCTCCACAGCCAACGCACCAGCAGCCGGGAAATTAAAAGACATATTGTGATAGGAAAGTCTACTATTAGGGACCTCTCCAAAGTACTGAAAAGCAATGGTGTCACTCTGGAAACTAAGGTGTGCCTGATCTAGGCCATGATCTTTGCAATCACTTGCTATGCATCAGAGAGTTGGACAATGACGAGGGAGGATAGAAGGAGAATTGATGCCTTTGAGCTTTGGTGCTGGAGAAGAGTATTGAATGTACCCTGGACTGCCAAGAAAACGAACAGATTCATCCTGGAGAGGGTTAAATCTCGCTGTTCCTTAGAGGCAAAGATTCTGAAGCTTCATCTGACATACTTTGGACATGTTGCAAGGAGGCACCAGTCCTTGGAGAAGAACATCATGCTTGGGAGGGTGGAGGGACATCTCAGGAGAGAAAGACCCTGTTTGAGGTGGATTGATTCACTGACTGGGGTGATGGGGCTATCTGTGTCAGAGACAGTGAGATTGGACAGGATAGAGCAGGGTTTAGGGCTATAGTACATAGGGTCGCTATGAGTTGCATAACAACAATAACATTTATTTCCTAACTATTTCTTTGCATCTCTGCTACCTCTTTCCTGGCTTTTGTTTTGTCTTCTCTCCGCGGAGTGATGCTACAGCTTTCCATGTACTTACATGGCATCAAAGTGATCTTCCTAAGACACAAGCCAGAATTTATTGAAAATTCTCCAGTGGCTTGGTCCTATTGCCTATAGGGTCCAATTTAAATACTTTATTGTTTCTTTAAAGTCTTTCGTGGTCTGGCCCTTGCTTACTTTTTTTTTGAAGCCTCATCTTTTTCAAGAATTTAATGAAATAACATTTGAGCAAGAGCCTATGGTGATGAAGGAAGAAGTTCAAGCTGCTT